CTCTCTCTCTCTCTCTCTCTCTCTCTCTCTCTCTCTCTCTCTCTCTCTCTCTCTCTCTCTCTCTCTCTCTCTCTCTCTCTCTCCTCCTACCCTCTGGGTCTAAGTCGACTCTACTGGACCTCTCTAGTACGAAGGATGGTGACGAGTTCTGATGACAGTTGAGATGGTAAAATTGAGACATTGGTTGAGGACTACTTCTGGGATCCGACTTCATCTACTTCTGGAGATGTATCTTGATATTGGGAGATCGACCTCTGGGACACTGTGAGACTCTGTTTTCAACTTTTCACGACATTTCAGATTTGCGTTACTTATGACTTTCGAGATACTATTTCTAGATCCATGGTGTTGACGTCAACTTCCCTCTCCTCCTTTCGTCTCTCCTCTCCATCCCTTCGTCCGTGTATGATCTCAGACCCTGGCCTTTTCGTCTGTGTCCAAGGCCAGGGCTTTCACACCACTGTTGCATGATTGAGAGTGTTTTGTTGCAGTCTGAGTCAGGTCAGCGTCAGTCCATGTGTATCGAGTCTTCTGTTGTATTTGTATATACTCTGTATTATCTGGTCGGTTCTAGGAATCTGCGCCATACGCATGACTGTGTTTCACGAGTATGCAACACCACATGATATTAAAATACTTCAATGGCGTTGCTTTAAGGAAATGTTTGTTGAGCATCACGGAGGGCATGTGGAGCTTTCACGGGGCAGCGCTACCGGGAGCGCTGCGCCCCGGCAGCATCAATCATCAATCAAGGTTACTGCCACGGAGAGGAGCTGCGCGCGCTGGAAAACTGCACGCAGCAAGGAAAATAGTGCGCGCGCGCTCGACGATTGCGCGCGATTGGGCACGCGCCCTGAGCTGAAAATTGGACCACCGGTGGTCTATGTCGAGGAGCTGAGGTGGTCCAAATTCCAGATGAAATGGCCCAGTGGATCATGAGATATCCACGATTTAGGGCGCGCCATGAAATTCGAGTGTGTCGGGCGATGAGGACGACGGGGGCAGGGGACTGCGCCTAGCACACGCGCCATGAGCCTAGGTCCTGGTCTTCGCCATGTCACTGGTTGACGTGTCCAGGGGACCGCCCCATTTCACGGGGTCCACGCAAGATTTCCGCGCCGCCACGTAGCAAGGTGAAGTGGCAACAAGGCGCTTGAGGGAGATCGCAGTGGAGATAGCCCAAGGTGGCATGGAAGTGTGTAATTCATAGTCTGAAGTACGCCAAGCTTGCAGATCGGAGGTATCACAGCATGGAGCGCGGTCCGTCATCAAGCTCGAGTTCGTCAACACTATCAGCAAGTCGTCATCAAGATTACTAGTCATCATCACTTGCGGCAAGGCGATCGTCATCAACATAATGGATAATTAGTTGACATCCCCATCATCATTACATCTCTATGGGTGTTTAGTCATTATTATAGTGATTTTCACCATCTGTAGTATCACGATCATCAGCACTATTATCCTCATAGCTATCATTTGTTG